CAGCTCTCCCCTTCCAGGCTTCCAGTTGAGGCCCAGATACTGTGGAGCAGGGTCAAGCTGTCCCTTCTGGGCCTGTCTACACTTCTGGACCAGGAGACCCATGAGCATAATAGATAAAAAATTACTAAGTTTTGGGGTAATTAGGAGCAAATTATATGGATGAAATCATTGTAGATACGTATGAAGTTGTGCCACATTTTGAATTTCCTGATGCCTTTACCCATTTGATGGCTCATTTCCTCAGGTCTTTGTTAGACCAGTGAAGTGCAACTAAATGAAGGAAATTATACTTGGGTGTTAAAAGTTGGGCAGGACCTATGGTGTCACCCGTTTTTTTCATACTTGGACTGTGGTGCCAGTTTTGATGTAAAATCTTGGCTCTTACACAGTCACTGAATTCTCAGTTCCAATGTCTTTGTAGTAAAGGGTAAGCCACACCCATGGTAGATGAACACACAAAGGGGACAAGTGATGCTTGCTCTGCAGAGGGTACCTGTGCAGTGGGTCAGGTCATCTGTATATCCTCTCATTCTGCAAAGATTCTTGGAACATCTAGACGTGGGGCAGTGTGTTAGCCGAGGGTCAGCAGTGGGTTTCTCCTCAGCCACAGGGAAGGTGGAGGGCAGGTTATGCCACTGCTCAGAGTTGTAAGTGCCAACGCAGAGCATTGTGGGAATATCCAAAGTTTCTTATAATAACTTCCTGGGAAGTGCAAAGTCACATACCTCAGGGTAAAAAAAAAAAAAAAGCTACTCGCCATCATTATTCCTTTGGAAGTTGCTTTGTGGGTGAGCTTTATTTAAGTAGAATTTACTTTAAATCTGCTTAAATACAATAGATATGGTGATTCTTACCATCTACATTGTAGATCTTTAATATTTTAAAGTTTTATTTATCTTTGTCATTTCCTGAAATAGAAGCTGAAAATGGCAGCTGGTTGATTTCCTGGACTCTCCAGGAAGCTTGGGATCAGACATGTGATTTAGGTTTGGTTCCTCTTTGCTCCTGCCCCAGACTCAGTATTAGAAAATAGTGGGACACAGAAAGGGGAATGGCCACCAATCCATTCTGGCAGGGACAGTGGGGCAGCGACAGCCCGTGTGTGTGTGTGTGTGTCTTTGCCATGGAGGAAGTGTCAACAGGAGTGTCCAACGTTTGCAATCAGCAGCTATTCCTACATGCAGAGTGAAAATGTAAATGGCCTGAATATTTTATTTAAAAGACATAGACTGACAAAGGTGGATAACCTTCCAGAAGACAGGATGGTAAGGATCAAGTTGTTAAGGAAACGAGTGGACCCGGGACCTCCTGCTGCCCTCCAGGGCTGACGGTGGGTGCTGTGCAGGCACCACTGCTCTGGGGTCTGCCAGCGTGTGCTGGCTGCTGGGTCCCATTGCCCTGGATGGTTAGCCCTGTCTCAGTCCGGAGGTGTCTGTGCAGTTGTACTGAATATCTGTCCTGCTGTGGGTCTGATTGGTCAGGCCCTTCATAAGTCAGTTGTCAAGTACTTTGACTATCACTCCTACTCTTTCTCATTCTGAGATTTCTCTCCTGAATATCCATCCTTCAAAAAAATTATTGATTAATTTTTAGAGAGAGAAAGGGGGGAGATGGAGGGAGACATTGATTTGTTCACTTATTTATACATCATTGGTTGCTGCTTGTATGTGTCCCAACCCAGGATTGAACCCACACCTTGGCGCGTCGGACGATGCTCTAACCAACGGAACTACCTGTCCAGAGCCCAAATAGCCATCTTTTTTTTTTCCCAAAAACAAGCATTTATTTTTTTTTTAATATTTATTGTTCAGATTATTACAGTTGTTCCTCTCCCCCCCCATAGCTCCCCTCTACCCAGTTCCCACCCAACCCTCTGCCCTTACTCCCTCCCCCGCCACTGTCCTCATCCATAGGTGTACAATTTTTGTCCAGTTTCTTCCCGCACCCCCACACCCCTTCCCCCCCGCCCCCCCGATAATTGTCAGTCAACTCCCTTTCTATGCCCCTGGTTCTATTATATTCACCAGTTTATTCTATTCATCAGATTTTTTATTCACTTGATTTTTAGATTCACTTGTTGATAGATATGTATTTATTGTTCATAATTTGTATCTTTACCTTTTTCTTCTTCCTCTTCTTAAAGAATACCTTTCAGCATTTCATATAATGCTGGTTTGGTGGTGATGAACTCCTTTAGCTTTTTCTTATCTGTGAAGCTCTTTATCTGACCTTCAATTCTGAATGATAGCTTTGCTGGGTAAAGAAATCTTGGTTGTAGGTTCTTGCTATTCATCCCTTTGCATATTTCTTGCCACTCCCTTCTGGCCTGCATAGTTTCTGTTGAAAAATCAGCTGACAATCGTATGGGTACTCCCTTGTAGGTAACTGACTTTTTTTCCTTTGACTTGATTCTTGGGATCCTCTTGTCTGCTGTTGGATCTCTGTATATTATTCTTTATTTCAGTCAGTGTATGCTTAATTTCTAGTTGGTCCTTTTTCATAACCTCGAGGGTCTCACTAAATTTATTGGCGGTTTCTAGAAAATTCTTGAAAAACCTTATAACCGTGGTTTTGAACTCTATATCCAGTCGTTTGCGTTCCTCCATTTCTGTCACTTGTGATCTGTTTCTTTGTCTCCGCATTTTGGCCGCTTCCCTGTGTTGATAGAGTGGCTTTGTGTGCTAGGTGTCCTATAGGGCCAGAGGCTCAGCCTTCTCAATTACCTGAGGTGGACACTCTTGGTGCACCCCTTTGTGGGCTTTGTGCACAGTCTTGTTGTAGTTAAGCCTTGATTGTTGTTGGTATCACTGGGAGAAATTGACCTCCAGGCCAATTGTCTGTGAGAATCAGCTGTGTCTACAGTGGGAGAACTTCTGTGCTGAAGACACCCTTCTGGGGCAAGACTTGCTTCAGTGGGGCTTTGGTGCTCACTGAGTCTGCCCCCTGAGTGTGTCCCTTATGGATCTGAGGAGTTGTAATCTGGATGGTGCCAATCTGATCACTGGGTACGTGGGCTCTTGGATTTCTAAGGATGTGCTAATTTAGCCTCTGCCTGAGGCTATCCAGTAGGAGCTACGAAGAGATCTGCAGATTCCCCTTCCTTGTTTGGGGTTTGGAGGTGCCCAGATGAGGCCCAGCTGTGAAGCAATGCAAGCTGCTGTGCGGCCTTGGGCCTTCTTTTGGATGTTCTGGGTCTCTCTGACCCAGCTGCAGTTTGTTAGGTAATTTTAGCTCTCAAAGGGCCAGCCCATTCATATGCAAAAGCCTCTGCTAGCAGCTTGGGTGGGGCGGGGTCTCAGGGAATCAACAGGGTGGAGCAAACAGCTATGGCTGATCCTCAGCCCTGCCCTAAGAGGCCCCGGGTCTCAGTGTTCCGTCTCAGTGTCCCACGGTAACCGCTGCCAGCACCTCTGAGAGAAAGCCGCCCTAGAGTTCTGCCCAATGCCAGACAGTCCAGTTTCTCCCCGTATGGGTCTGGGTCCCCAGAAACTCGCCCGGAACTGGAGTTCAGAGCAGTGGGGAGCTTGAGACTCCCTCCCGATTGAAAAAGACACCAGTGTCCTCCGTTGCCAGCACTTTCCGAGCGTACGCACCTCAGTACCTCTGCACTTTACTTCCGCACCTCCTCTGAGTCTCAGTGTGCTTTTCTCTTTCCTTCTAGTTGTAGAATTTCCACTCAGCCAGCTTTCCTGTGGTTCTGGATGATATCTGTTTTGTCTTTTAGTTGTATTTTTGAAGTGGTTGTGCGAGGCAGCAATTTCAGGTGTTTACCTATGCTGCCATCTTGGTTTCTCCCCAAATAGCCATCTTAACGTTACAGATTTAAAGTGTTCCCAATGATCTGTCTTTTTTTGAAAACTTTTATATGACTATATAAGCAGTATATATACATTAGAAAAGAAATCATGAAATTGTAAATGAAAAAAAAAATGCTCAGGGACAACAGTTCTGGTGTATTTAGTTATTTTTCTTTTTTCATGTTAACATCAGAAATAGGATCAGATCCTTCATTCTCTCTTGTCTAACTGATACTTAGACTGAATTACTTCTAAAATAGGGCCTGACCAACTTTTCCAGTGAGAGACCAGCTGGCAACTGTTTCAGGCTCTGTAGGCTGTACATCTCAGTCACTTACCTCTGCTTTTACTGTGGAAGCAGCCGTAGAAACATGTAAACAAATGGGTGTGGCTGTGTTTCAATAAGATCTTTATTTATAAACACTGGAACCCAAATTTCATGTGATTTTTCACATCACAAAATATTACTCTTGATTTTATTTTTTCAACTATTAAAATGTATGGCCACTTCCTTGTAGGTAACTAACTGTTTTTCTCTTGCTCCTTTTAAGATTCTCTCTTTGTCTTTTGCCCTTGGAATTTTAATTATGATATGTCTTGGTGTGGGCCTCTTTGGGTTCCTCTTGTTTGGGACCCTTTGTGCTTCCTGGACTTGTAAGTCTATTTCTTTCACCAGGTAGGGGAAGTTTTCTGTCATTATTTCTTCAAATAGGTTTTCAATATCTTGCTCTCTCACTCTTCCTAAAACCTAACTAAATATCATAACCATTATTTTCATGTCAGCACATATAGATCTACTTTATTCTAACTGTATAGTAGTCCATTGCATATTTCTATCATAATGAATTAGGAGCATTTAGTTTGTTCCCAAGTGTGTATGTGGTTTTTCTTTCCTATCAAAATAGGTTTTGATAAAAATTCTGTATCTTTGTCTTTGAGGATTTGTCCTTAGCACTTTCCCAATTTCCCTCTTGAAAGTTTGTTCCATTTGTACTGTCCTCACCGTGTTCACGTGTTTCCCGTCACCTTGCCACCTCTGGAAGTAGCAATGGTCTTTCCTCAGGGAGCATCAAAAGTGGTGACAAAGTTAGACTTTTTATGTATGTTTCTGGAATACATTCCATCTGACCATTCAGAAGCTCCAGATGGTTTCCATATTTCTGGGGATCTGATCACCCTCCCCTTGACTTTCATGTTTTTCAGTTACAGCAGTGGCCTGACTTGTATACGGAGAAGTTTGTCCACAGAATCTACCCCATCACATTTTCTGCAGGAAACCCCCAGGAGTGGAGGAAGCTGTTCAAACCCTGTGCTGCCCAGAGACTCTTCCTCCCGGTAGGAACCCCGTTTCAATGAAGTGCCGCTTGAGAGAGAGTTGCCCCTGGAAATGGAGTGGGATTAACCGGAGCACATTTAGAGGCATTTTACAGCTAAAAATGTGTCTCTTGGACCTGTCTGTAGTCACTGCTCTTAGTCTTCATGGTGTAGAGAGAGGGTCCCTGAGTTTGAAAGGTTGTCTTTCCTAAAGATTGAGGGGCTAAGGGCATCCAAAGCATGCTTTGAATGATGGGTCTTTCTGATGCACACCATTTACTAGCTCTGCAAACCTCACAGCTCCCCTGTTGTTCTGCACCTCAATTTGCTCTGTCAACTTGACCCTCAGTAAATATTAGCTTTGATTATTGTTATTTTTTCTTATAATAGTAACTACCACTAGATATAGCCAGGCTAGGGAATAATTCAGAAAAGGTTCAGAGTTTTGGTGCAGCCTTTTGATTTTGAATTTTTAAGGTAATTTCAATTTCATTTTTAAAAATACTAAATAGAAAAATTACTGAACTTATATCAAAACCAAGACTATCAAGGAACATAGTAAGAAAATAAAGAGTAAAATAACCAGAAAACAGAGTGAGGTGGGACTGAAGGGCAGAGCTATGGGCTCTGGAGGCCCCGCTGAGCGTCTGCTCTGTGTGCAGGGCAGAGAGGGGCTGTGGACTGGTTTCTAGCATAGAAGTGGGATGATCTAACGTGTGGTTTAAAGAGGACACACTGGTCATTGCACACTTACTTAGCTGGATGAATCTCATTGATTGCTGAGGCCAATGAATGATGACTTGTGCTATAGTGGTTGCTTTAGAGATGGATTTAGAACCTGCGTGAGAAATAGAATTTATAAGTTTTTATGACTGGTTTGTTGTAAGAGTTGAAGGGAAGTGAGGTAAGAGGGATTTCACCCAGATTTCTGATCTGAAAAGGTTGATCTGTTTGAAATTGCCAATATTCAGCTATTTATGACCTACAAAAAAGGGCCATTTCTTATGGTTCAGTCTACTAAGTGAATGGTGGTGATATTTAGAGATGGGAGAGTCTAGAGAAAAATCTGTTTTGGTAACAGGGGAGATGAATGTGAGTCATATTTTGATTTTGGGATGCCTGGGAGGCATCCACAAAGGGAAGTCTTACCATCTGTTGGTCTGAAACCCTAAATGGCAGATGGGGTTTTTAGCATTTCTTACACAGAACCTGTGAGAAGAACAAGGCCAGATGGGATTATATTTGTTGTCAGATGGGATTAAATGTATTAAAATGGGGGTAAGAAAAAACAACCTCAGATTGACACTAAATCTCTAGGTTGGTGATTTTAAAACTACCATTTAAGAAGGTGAGAAAAAAGTTGTCAGGTTTCTGCTTATTGTCTTCATTTTGTATTTACTGTTGGAAAATTGTCTCTCAAACCTAGCAACACATTTTTTCCCTGACCTTGAATTAAAAAAACAAACCTACCACATGATGGTTTTCATTCATCCAGCTATGTAAGTGTTCAATTTTCAATGACAAATGGGTTCTGGCATTCTGCTTTTGTAATAGAAACTAGAGGTCCTTAAAAATAATAGAGATTGTGATTGACAGGACAGTTCTCTTTTCTGAGTCATCTCATAATAGCAGATTATGAACTTGACATTTTTGGACATCAGAGAGATGTAATTTGAAATAAAATTTAGGTGATGTTTTCCTTGAAATTCATCTCTATAAAACCAAATCAGGCGTGCTGCTAAAGCAGCACAGAGAAGACAGAAGCCCTAAAGTGTAAACATTCTGTAGGCGGTCGGTCAGTTGACTGAGAAGCACAGTCTTACCCGTTTTCTCAAGGGAAAACCTACCTTACACCAGTGGAAGAAACCCCGTCTCGGGTAAGATTTTACTATGAGAATGATCAGAGCACAAGTCTTTGCAACTCATGATTTTCAAGTGCAATCACTGGAATCTAAGTCTCAGCAAGTCAGGATATCTGAAGTCCTAAATATCAATGGACATTTACTTTTCTAGTTCTGTGAAGAATGGTCCTGAGAGCAAGACCATTACTGTGCACACTGAACTTCAGATAGCTCAATTAAGCCCTCCAAGCTGCAGGTAATTCAGAAGCTTAAAGTATTTAAAACAATATGCCAATTACAAATAAAAAAATGTCAATTAAATCGATCCTGGAGGACTTTTTCCTTTTCCATTAGTAAAGGAAATAATTGAGTTTCATGAATTCACATCACTTTTTCCCCACTTAATAAGAATTAGTGAGATGTTTATAATGGATTTATGTCTTACATTACACACTGTGCTTATTTGATTACAAAGACCTATGTCCTCAATAATGTACTCCACTGGGGATCCTAGAGATATGTAAAATATGACAGAGATCACCGGTTGGAGAGTCTGCAGATACTTGGTCATGTGAGTTAGGTTAAGGTAAGGCACTATACAGGCCTCACCTAGGGAGAAAGGCTTTTTTAACCAAGTTTCAGTAAGTTCCAAGATTATAATAATGTCTGGTGTCTTTCTGGCTCCCAGCACTTGCCTCAAGTACAAGCATCTATATTCAAGGAAGGAGATAGGGAATAATATAGTCAAGAGAAAAAGGTTACAATTGCTTATAGCCTTGACCTATAAATTTGTCCTAAGAGTTTTCTTTAAAAAAATATATTTTATTGATTTTTTAACAGAGAGGAAGGGAGAGGGATAGAGAGTTAGAAACATCGATGAGAGAGAAACATTGATCAGCTGCCTCCTGCACACTCCCTACTGGGGATGTGCCCGCAACCAAGGTACATGCCCTTGACTGGAATAGAACCTGGGACCCTTCAGTCCACAGGCTGACTCTCTATCCACTGAGCCAAACCGGTTAGGGCAAGTTTTCTTTTTTTAATAATTAAAAAAATTTTTCTATTATAGTTGACATACATTATTATATGTATCAGGTGTACACCTCATTGCTTAGACATTACATAACTTACCAACTGGCCATCCCAATAAATCTCACATCCATCTGACACCATACATAATTATTAGAATATTATTGACTACATTCTCTATGCTGTACTTTACATCCCCATGACTATTCTGTAACAACCAATTTGTACTTCTAAATTCTTTCACCTTTTTCATCCATCCCCCCAGCTTCTCTCCTATCTGGCAAATGTTTTTTGTATCTACGAATCCATTTATGTTCTGCTTGTTTGTTTATTTTTTTAGATTTAATTATTGATAGATGTATATTTATTTTATTGTTCATATTTTTAATGTTTTTTCTTCTTCTTCTAAAAGAAGACCCTTTGACATTATATGTAACACTGGTTTGGTGGTGATGAACTCCTTTAACTTTTCTTGTCTGGGAAACTCTTTACATGCCCTTTGATTCTAAATGAGATCTTTGCTGGGTAGACTAGTCTTGGTTGTAAGGTCCTTGCTTTTCATAACTTTAAATATTTCTTGTCAATCCCTTCCGGCCTGCAAAGTTCCTGTTGAGAAATCAGCTGACAGTCCTTATAGGCAACTAACTGCTTTTCTCGTACTGCTTTTTAAAAAATATATATTATTGATTTTTTACAGAGAGGAAGGGAGAGGGATAGAGAGTTAGAAACATCGATGAGTGAAAAACATTGATCAGCTGCCTCCTGCACACCCCCCACTGGGGATGTGCCTGCAGCCAAGGTACATGCCCTTGACTGGAATCGAACCTGGGACCCTTGAGTCTGCAGGCTGACGCTCTATCCACTGAGCCAAACCGGTTAGGGCTCTTGTACTGCTTTTACGGGTTTCTCTTTGTCTTTAACCTTTTGCATTTTAATTGTCTTGGTGTAGGTCTCTTTGGGTTCCTCTTGTTTGGGACCTAGCACTTCCTGGAATTGTATGTCTATTTTCTTGACCAAATTAGGGAAGTTTTTTCAAAAAGATTTTCAATTTCTTGCTCTCTTTCTCTCTTTTCTCCTTTACAAACAGCTCTTAAATATTAACAGAAATTAGCAATCACTAGAAATTTGAAGAATCCCCCTAATAGGACAGCCATCAAAACAAAGGGGAAACATCAACTTAGAGAAAACAATATATATACAATGAATAAAACTTCTAAAGAAATTATCACTAGTACCCTCAGAAATAAAAGAAGATAATATATGAAGACACAAGATTCTGTAAAAAATATGAAACAGGATTAAACATAAATTCTTGTAAATTCAAAATATGATAACAGAAATAGAATAATTGATAGAAAAGGCTGAGGAAATCTTTGTGAAAGTAAAATTAAAAGAAGAAACAATAAAAACTAATTCAATAATGTCAATAAAATGATCAGAAAGTTAGAGGATAAGTCCAACATCTCAACAAATAAGGACTTTGGGGTATGGCCGGGTTGGTTGGAGTGTTGTCAAAAGGTTGTGGGTTTGACTTCCAGTCAGGGCACATGCCTAGGTTGTGGTTCGATCCCAGGTTGGGCTGGGTACAGAAGGCAGCTGATTGATGTTTCTCTCTCTCTCTCTCTCTCTCTCTCTCTCTCTCTCTCCATTCCTTTCTCTCTAAAATCTATAAAAACATATTCTCGAGTGAGGATAAAAAAATAGGGACTTTGGGAAGAGAGAATAGAGAACATAATCGACAAAAAATCAACAGTAAAAGTAATTTAAGAAAATTTTCCAAACTAAGAAGACACCAGTTCCCAGATTTATGGAACCCACCAAAAGACTATCATATTATATGAAAAAAAAAAGATCCACTGCATCAAGCAAAACGACTTGAACTTTCAGGATGGCAACATAGAGGCCTCATGAACTCCCCTCCTCCCATAGACACAGCAAACCTGCAGATACACACAGAGGAATTCCCTCTGAAGAAATCTGGAAATTAGCTGGAGGCCTCCTACACATCGGGCCACAAGAAAACACCCACATCAAAATGGGTCTTGGCACATCCTCAACTACTGGAGTCAATCAGAGCAAAGAAGGTGGTTTGTACAATCACAGACGTTTGAGAGATAACCAGGAGGTTGGGCCAGGCTGATCAAAAAGGTT